TAAGCACACCACTACATCAGAACCGAAAACAGTGGAATCGGATCGTGGCCAGATTTAGAGATGCTCCACATCCAGCATTATTCTCTTCTGAGACTATTAAAGTTCACAAATGAATGAGTTATCAGCTGGCCAGCTAAAAAGCAAGGAAAGAAGCACCACACATTAATTCTCCAGGTCCACAGTCATGCAGATTTAGGAGACCGCAAGGTACCTAACAATTGCACTCCAAGGGAAATAAACATTTTGCATATGCAAGACCAAGAAAATCACTACAGGCCACAGCTAAGAGGTTGCAGAGGCTGCAGTCTGACCATTTGCTAAGGACACGACTGTTTTCAGGCTGCAAATTTGTCTGCCTACCCCTTAGTCATCGCAGTCAAATGTCCAACACCGTTTAAGCCTTCACATAGCAGAATATAAATTCTTTTCCTGGGTGTTGCAACAGTACAACATCAAACAGATTATTTAACCATCTGGGACGGAGGGTCAATAAAAGCAGCCACAGACTGCTAAACAAACACAAAAAACATTAAGCTGAGGAGCACTCTTCAGTGTTCAAGTCAGAGGTGCGTTCCAGCCATTGCGAGCTGGTCTGTGCTAGTCGTGGCTGATCCAAGGGCACCTCCCAGTTTGTACACAATGAAGCCTGCTCCACTACAATAGGATTCCGGTTTAACAATGTATAGAGAGGACATGAACTATTTATGCTAGCCAAGTTACTGCTAATGGGTCTTGCCAGTCTTGTTCATCTGTAGCTGGAAATCCTAGCAGCAGGGGAGGTATGAAACGCCCTACGCTGCTGGTTTCCTGCAAGGGAGCAAAAGCTTCTTTTCCTGCCTCCCCATTATGCTGCTGCTGTCATCTCCCTCAAATTGCATTACAGCGCACTACAGCGAGAGCAGGGAGAGGAGGAAAGTCTTCTAGGCAGCATCCCCGCTCTGCTGCAGGCAGCCGTCAACATCGCTGCCTGTTCCACCCTGCTATCCCACTGTAACACATTTATCCAACAACACTTTGTGCTTGCCACGGGTATGCGGGTAAGCGCTGCTTCCCCTACCAGCCTTCAGGTACCTTCAAGCAAAAATGATCTGCAAGAGAGGTTTCCCTCCCCCCTCCATCAAATATAAAAATGCATCACGTCTTCGGGATGGTATTTGGAAGTAGAAGTGTAAATCTGTTCCTCACTCTGATTTTGCAAAGGCTGCAAAAAGCCAACCGCTGTCTTCCTTTCTCCAACCGAGAAACAGCAATAACGGTGCCCACAGCTCGGTAAGAGCACGTCAGTATTGACAAAGCAGTACAGGAGCCTTGTGTGAGAAATGCTTTAGACAAAGTATATTATTGGAGGCCATTTTCCATCCTTACATTCCCCAAACAAAGATTCTAGGTAGTACAAATCCTGATCACCTTATACTACAGAGCAATATCACGTGATGCCTCTACAGATCTTGTCCAAATGTTTGTCTAAATAATGCAAACAGTAGCTTGGCCTCCTTACAGAGGTAAGCAGACCGAGTGTGGGCAATACAGCACTCGTCCTCAGAAGCCAACTGAAAACATTTCGGGTCACCCTGCCACCTACATACGCTCCTAGATTTATTTCAGCTCGTCAGCTTTGCTTCTCGTTACGAGTGACGACGACAGCCTCCAAAAGCCACCCTGCAAACAGACAGGCACCACTGGCATCAGCAAAGGAGTCGGGCTCCCCCAAAGCCAGCAAGGAAGCCACACTTAATTTAAAATTTCCCCCAACCTGGGTGAGAAACACTACGAGATGGCATCATGACTCAGGGTAGCAGCTGCCCCGTGTTGAAATCTTTCCCCAAAGCCCAATGTTTTTTCCACTTAATCAGACACTGACAGTTCCCCTCACGAACGCGGGGAAGGAACCACAGCAGCGCTGGTAATTAGGAGAAAGGTGTCATTCAGCAGGAATATGATTTCTAGTCCTCAGGAATTAAGCTTTCTCCAAGGATCGTTACGAGTTTAAAACCACTGCAAGCTCTTAAGCACTGACCCAGAGGAAAAACATCACTCCTGAAGTATTCCAAAATAAACCTGAAATTCTATAAAAGCGACATGAAGGCTGCTGAGAGCGAGATTATCCCAGCTCAGTAAAACATTCCTTATTATCTCACAGCTCAGTGCTTTGGCAAGGATAACTTATTCAAGCCACCAGGACACCACTAAGTGGCCTTTTTCTCTTTTTCCTGTTCTCCCCCGCCTACCCCTCCCCAATTTCCCAGATTTCCCCGTCCCAGTAACCCGCTTAAAACAAAACTACTCTACTTCTCATCAGACTAATGCTGATCAGCACGTTATTTAGCTCAGTTTCAAACACAGGAGCTACCACGTCAGTACGCAGATGACCTTATCTCCTGGGCTGCTACTGGGAGATAGCCAGTGCCCCGAGTCAGCTGCGTGTTTCACACCTTCCGCTGCTCGCCGTAGTGAGAAAAGGCACCCACCCCACCAGGGTTAGATCCTGCTCAGAGTAATTGAAGTTACACGTAGCAACTTGAAAAGCCCACCCATCGACCGAGGTAGGCAATACACAACGCTATTATTTTAGTGCACGCACAGACTTCTGAGGCTGTTAGCGCCTCTCCTTTAAGTAGTTAAGAAGATGCCTGAAGTTAATAATTTAAATGGAGACTTAAAATATCTCCAGACCAAATCCACGTGCAAAAAAACCCCCAAGCTTCTGACGAGAGGAATTAGTGGCACAGTTCCGACTGTCCCAAAAAGAATGCAGCCGGCGGCAAGCCCCGACGCCCATCGCCGCGCCAAGCTGCCGGCGCTATGACACAGTAAACCACTCACAATGACTTGAAAAAGAAATAAATAAAAACAAGACGCCCATTCAACATTAATGAATGGGAGCTTCTTCCAGCAGGCACTAAAAAACACCCAAAGGGCTTCACGTCTCTCGCACTTGGGTTTGTGCTACTCCGGCTTGCTAACCAGCTCCTGGCCCCCGAGATACGCTTCCTGCCTCTCTCCAACTGCGCCCAAGTCAGAGTTGCGTGCTCGCTCCACCTATTTTTGCCACAGGACTTCTTAGCAATTTGTGTCCAATTTCAAAGCATAAGCCACGCTGCCAGCGACTGCAGCTCGCCGGCGGCAGTAACGCCCACTGCATTCTCAGGCAGATAAAGCATTGGTCTGCCCAGGAATTTGGACTTCCGAGAGAGCTTCTGAAACACAAGCCCAGGAACAGGCTGCCAGCACCCTGCTGGAAACCAGAATGTACCTTATCATCAGTAAAGCCTGCCCCAACCGCTCTTCCAGGAACTGTTATTCACGCCCTGACTTACGGGCAGTTGCCCAAGAAGGATGCCTGCAGCCAGACCGACAGGAGAACATCCTAGGAAGGAAAGAGAGACGGAAGAAGGCCTGTTACCAAAACGCAGCACTACCAAGCGGGCTGAATGTCTCTACAGATCTTCTTCAGGAAGCGGGTCTGAGCCTTTTCCCAAGTCTTGGTATTCCAGGCACAAATTCCTGTCAAGATGATTGTTTATTAACATCAAGTCACACCGTGCAGACACCCAGCACACAAGATCTATTAAGATGTTTACAATATTGAAAGGCCTGATGTAAGGCAGTGGAATTTTTGCATGGCATTCGTCCTAGAAATGAAAAGCTCAGGTTAAAGCTGTAAATCCCACAGTCCTGTAATTAACAGCTGTCCCTGCAATTCTACTAGTCCTAGAGAAAAACGGGTCCCACAATACGGGTTGCGCTGCACGCTCCTACGGCACCGTACCTGTAGAGGCACGTACCAGAACCTGCTCAAGATTTGGGTCTGCAGAGTGATGGGTCTCAAACATTCCCCCTCACCTTCCAAACAGGTCGCTGGAGGAAAAGAGCTCTCATGCCATCCTCTCTGGAAGCAGGAGGAGGCCACTTCATAACTGAGCATGCAAAGTCCAGTCTGTCCACCTGACTGGGGACGCCTGCCTTCTCCTCCATTGCTACCGCTGGAAACCTGCAACGCCTCCCAAGTACGTCGGTTGAGATAGCAGAAATTGTAAGAAAGAGGAACCAACCATCACAGAGCAGAATGGAGAAACAGGGATCTGCTCGCAGGTCTTAGCACTAACGCTGCCCATGCCTTTCAGCCAGCAAGGCAGTCGCTTTTAGGATTGCTGCCCGAAACAAAGCAAGAAGAGTCTGCTGTTCTGCACAGCAGTCAGTAAGCTGGAAAAGCACCACAAGAAGAGATGCTGTGAAAAGCACACAGACAACCAAGCTATAGTCCCTCGGCATTACGCCTCGATAATGGAAATAAAAGCGCACAGCAGCAATATTAGCTTTTCTTTTTTAAAAAGCGTCAGAGGTCTCAAGCCAGTGACCAAACCGTAACGCTTCACGTAGGAAACTGAACCTTGCTTGACGAGCAGTAAGGAAGCTGAATAGAAACATCGACAACTAAACTTATTCATACGAAAGCTACGTTTCTGGTACAAGCATTTTTCAGTAAGACTCTAAGATAAGGTATTAGAAGGCATTCGAAGACAACCCTTCAGGTCACAAAGCGAAGGTGCGATGAAAGAAAAACCTCCCGGGCCAGACTCGCAGGCGCAAGCAGCCGTCACCCGCCCAACGGCCGGGCAGGGGTTCCAGCGAGCGCAGCCGCAAAGCCAGCGGGTCCGCGGGACGACGGCCACTTTTTAAGCCGACCTACATTTTGCCCATCCCAAACCGACGTGCGGGAGCGCTGCCCGGGTGAGCTCACGCTCCTCTTTTCACATGCACGCTGCAGTCAGCTACAGCTCTGCGGTCGCAGAATACTTTGCGTGAAAATCCGAGCTTCCTCCAGCCGTTTGGGGGAACGAGTGCGGCTCCAGAGGCAGAAACAGCCCTCAGACACCTCCGTTATACAAACGCCGTGCACGGTAGCGCTTCCAGCGTTTGCTCTCTCCCACCAAGCTAAGCGAGCGCTCAAATCAATAGAGAGAGGGGGGAAGAGGAGGAGGAGGAGGAGTATCTCTTACACAGATCCCTCAACTCCGAGGACAGCTGTGTTTTGGGTTTCTTTTCTGCAGCAGCTCCCACAGCAGATGCCTGAAATGTCAAGATGTCCCAACGGCACCGAGTGTTTCCACAACAAGATGGGGGTCAGAAGAGAAGAACGAGCTTATATCCGCCTCTCCCCACCGGCTCTGGAGCCGAGGCTGTTTGTCTTCCCGAGTATAAACACACAGCTCGGGGTACCTGAAACGAGCCGGCGAAGAGAACCCACGGAGAGCAGCGCCAGAAAATTGTGCCTGGGTGCCCCCCACCCTCTTCACCTCCC